TAACCATGGAAAGGGCCATAGGGAGCTTCCAACAGTCCGTTGCTGTCGAGCCATCGCATCCAGAGATGTGAATGATACCCAAGCCCAAGTTTCCTAACCCCAAACCCTAAAAACCCTCAAAACCCTAAAGACCCTAAGGACCCTACAAACCCTCAAAAAAAAACCCTAAACCCCAGCCTGGGAGGTGCCCGCGCCCCCATTGCCGGAGCTCCTTGCCCACTGGGGCGCTCGCTGCGCCCGCATGGAGCGCATTGCCAGGTGCCGCCGCTCCGCAGTTGCGCTTTGGGGTTTGGGGCTTTAGGCTTTAGGGTTTGGGGTTTAGGGTTAGGGGTTTAGGGTTTACGGTTGGGGAATTGGGGTTTGGCGTGTATTGGGGTTTGGGGTTTGGGGTTTAGGGTTTAGGGAGTTGGGTTCGCGGTTTTGGGTTTAGGTACGGGATTAGCGTTTGGGGCTAGGTCTTGGTATCCTGCAAGTTTCCCTATTTAAGCATTATAGGGTTTAGGGTTTTGGGCTTTGTTCGAGGATCATGCGTTCTCGAGAGGTTAGGCTTTCTTTGCCCGGAAAGAGGCGATGTGCGGGAAGACGGTGTTTGGTGGCTTTGCGTGGGTTTGGTCGTTTTGGTAGTTTTCGTGTTCATCTGGCTCCCGAATACCTAAACCCAAACCCCGAACCCCGAAACCCGAAACCCGAAACCCCAAACCCCAAACCCTAAACCCCAAACCCTAAACCCTAAACCCTGTAAACCCTAAACCTTAACCCCATACCGAAGTGTAAGCCTCAGGTTTTAGGGTTAAGCAAGGGTTGAAGGGTGAGAGAGGGAGGAAGGAAGCAAGAGAGGGAGAGAGATTTAGGGTTTAGGGTTTAAGGTTTAGGGTTTAGGGTTTCAAGAACAGAAAGGATATCAGCCATGAAAGTTCCACCCCTACTCAACCCGGAACCCTAGCATACGCTGAGCCCATATCCCTAGCACGGCCATTGTTTTGCTTCGCCTCTCGCAAAGCCAAAAGAAAAGCCAAAAGAAAGAAAGGCCAGAAGAAAGAAAATCCAAAAGAATAAGAGCTTGAAAGGCCCTGAAGCATAGGTACTTAGATTTTTAGAGAGGGAAGTTGGGAGGTTCTGGTGCAAACCCTGAGCTTCAGGGTTGAGGTTGAGGGTTTGAGGTCTTAGGTTTTTTGGATGTCAGGCCTTATTGCGTTGACTGTGAGCACCGTCCAGATCATGTTACCTCCCCTAGACTTCAGCAGGTTTATGGTTTAGGTTTAGGGCTTACGATGCGCAAAACATAGTGGGCTTTTGCTCTCTGGTTTCTGGCAGGTGCTTGGCGGGGCTGCGGGTGCTCCAGCAGGACGGCTTGCAGAAATTTGGGCATGATGGCGTTAGGGAATCAGGAGTCTTGGATTCATGCACAGACGAAATAAGGAACCTAGTTCGCATGATCATCCCGGACGAGAAGGGGCGGTCTCGGCCTCGACTTCCTCATGAAAGGGATCTAGGCTTTAGGGTTTACGTATATTGTCGGACATTGAGTCTTGATTTCGATTTCAATTCTGTATTAAAATCGATTTTAATACCTGCTTCCAGGTTTTCTTGATTCGGTTAGCAAATCAATTGAAATCGATTTTAGTACCTTCTTCAGTTCTGCTTTCGGGATGACTTGAAATCGATTTTGATACCCTGGTCCAGACCTTCACGCTTCAAAAACACTTGAAATCGATTTTAATTCATTTGGCTCTCCAGACCACTCCGGAGGGTATTAAAATCGATTTTAATTGCTTCCCATCATGAATCACTTCAAATCGATTTTAATTCATCCCGATCTCCAGACCACTCCGGAGGGTATTAACATCGATTTTAATCGCTTCCCATCACGAAATCACTTAAAATCGATTTTAATTCATCCCGATCTCCAGACCACTCCACAGGGTATTAAAATCGATTTTAATTCCTGGGGGGTCGGGGTGGGTGGGGCTGGGGGCCTGCCTGGGTTGGGGGGGTTTGGGGTGGGGGGGCGGGTGGGCTGGCTGGGTGGGGGGGGGGGGGGGGGGGGGGGGGGGGGGGGGGGGGGTGGGGTCGGGGGGGGGGGGGGCGGAAGTGGGCGGAAGGGGTAAGGGGGTGGGGGGAAGGGGTGGGGGTTGGGGGGGGGGGGGTGGTGCATGAGAAAAATACAGGCCAATCAGAGAAATGGAAATCCAGACTCAGCAAGCCTGCCTCGTAGGACTGTTGCCAGCGGGGCAGGTTGCCTGTCCCTGCTGCCGTTTCGGAGCACCTAAGCCCCCCAAACCCCCCCCAAGCCGCCTTTGCCCCCCTACAAGCCTGTGAAGCCCTTTCAGTTTTTGGGGTCTCAAGCCACCCCCTAAGCCCCCCTAAGCCTCCCTAAGCCCCTCAGGCTAAGCCCCCTCAAGCACCTCCAGGGCCCTCGACCCAAGCCCCCTCAAGCCACCCCTCCAGCACCCTTCCCCCTGAGCTCCCTAAGCCCCCTCACCTCAAGCACCTGCAGGGCACACCCTTGTTGGAGTCTCAAGCCACCCCCTCAGCCCCGCCAAGCCTCCCTAAGCCCCCTCAGGCTAGCCCCCCTCAAGCACCTCGACCCAAGCCCGCACCAGCCCCCTTCAGGTTCTTGGGCGCCCTGAGCTGCCTAAGCCTCCGGAACCGGCCCCCCCAGCCAAAAGTATTAAAATCGATTTTAATACCCCAAGGCCCGGGACGGGGTCAAAATCAATTACAATCGATTTTAATACCCCGCCAAGCCCGTCTAGGACATCTTCCTAGGTATTAAAATCGATTTTAATTGATATCTTTGGCTGACACGGGCCCGCCCGGAGGGGGGTATTAAAATCGATTTTAATCGAAAATTGTAATCGAAATCCAGTGTCATCCTATTGTCGGAGACAGGCAACCGACGAACCAACCACCAAACCTTCCGCAAACCCTGCCCAACTTGCTCATACGAAGCCTCTGCCGTCCAACGCCAACCCCAAACATCCCCTTAGCCCTAAGGGCCCTATGTAGTTTTGACTTGGCCCCAAGGGGTTCCCATATAGCAGCTTTAGCAGCCCAGGTATATACTATGTCGAAGCGCGGGCCCTTAGGAAGTAGAATCGGGTTATGGAATTTCGGGCTCAGGGTTCAAAAGCGCTTAGCAAGCAAGCCCAGCCGCGGCACAGGATCCAGAAGAGACGCTCTTCAGCTTCATCTGCTCGCAGAATAACAACGTGCGCCGGCCCTAGGTGTGCTTTGCAGCCTGAAAGAACCCTCCTTTAGAGGGTTTCTGATGTCTGGGCCCTTACTGTGTAGAGGCAGGGTATATAAGGGGCATATAAGGGTCCCCTTTTAAGGGCCTATAATTAAGGGACCATGTGACTACCCACAAGACAAAAAACATGCAGCCTCGGAGGTCTTAGGAAGCCTTGGGTGGCCCAGTGGTAGCCTTTCTACCCTTTTTTCGGTGCTAGGCTATCTTGTAACCAACCCCAAAAAGGGTACCGTTGTTACAATATGGGTGCTGGTGCAACCAAGAAGCAAAGACATCAAGAAAAAAACAATGCGGGGCTGAGGTCACGAATATGCCTGCTCACCGATCGCCTGCGAGCACGTTTTGGGGAGGTGCCCAGCTCGGTGTTCACGCCGCAAACACCAGGGTTTAGGGTTTAGGGTTTAGGGTTTAGGGTTTAGGGTTTAGGGTTTAGGGTTTAGGGTTTAGGGTTTAGGGTTTAGGGGTTAACCTCCAAGCTGCATTCTTATACCCTTAAGGCAAGAGCCAAACAGCTCCCCAGTCTCATCTTAGCCTACGCAAGTATGTGTAAACTGCCCCCCCACCAAAAAATGGAAAGAAAACAATAAAGAAAAACACCAATCTCCAATGTTACCTGCAACTCAAAGGCCAGGCCCTGGATTTCTGTGAAGGGCCGCTGGCCCATCCCACATCAGTCTCGAATCGCACACAGTATAGCTGAATATAGCAAAATACGTATACTACACCATAGTGTAGTATACATATATATATATAAATGAATAAATAGATAAGTTAGCTAAATTTCCGGCGATGGCTATATGCATTTATATGTATACACATAGTGTATGTACATATAATATAGCGTATACATATATGTAAATATGTAAAACTTTCGAACATATTCTATGTAGCTTCCATCGTCCTCGCAGGTGGTTTGTCGTTTGCAGCCCCTTCCCCCGCCATGGCATGGCGAAGGCCACTGTCGCAGGTTGAAGGCTTTGGGGTTTAGGCTTTAGGGCTTTAGGGTTTAGGGTTTAGGGTCTAGGGTCTAGGGTTTAGGGTTTAGGGTTTAGGGTCTAGGGTTTAGGGTTTAGGGCATTGGATGTAGGGATTTTGTGCGTCTGGGTTCCAAACCTTGAAGGCAACAGGAGCTTCGGGATGTAACCATCAAGCCTTTCAGGTCATGGTTTCCGCCGGGTCTCAGCTGGTTCTCGTTCGTTTCGGCCGCATGATCGGGGCGAGTAAGTGGAACAAGCTAGAATTGTCAGCACGATTAAACTTCTACTTGCTTAAGACTTTGTGAACCCTAAGGGTCCACGTACCTGATTATGGAATACTTGGGCCTTAAAGTACTTCCTATATAAGGACTTTTGGGTCTAAGTATATAATAATAAGGTACATGGACCCTTAGGGGAATAAAAGATAGTAAGCCCTGCATTGCCCTTTTAAGGAAGAATCGTCTCCGGTGTTCTTGAGCTGGTAGTAGTAAACCCTCATGAACACCCAAATTCCCTAGGCCCTACCCTCAGGGTCCATAAACCTAAATAGGGAGCACTTAGGGCTTAAAGTACCTCCTACATAGGGACTTTGGCGGCCAAGGATTCCCTATTTAGGTACATGGACCCTTAGCCCTAAACCCTAAACCCTAAACCCTAAACCCTAAACCCTAAACCCTAAACCCTAAACCCTAAACCCTAAACCCTAAACCCTAAACCCTATAGACCCTGGACCCCACTCAACTCCTGCTGCAGACAGCCGACTCTCTCACATGCGCGAGCTTCATGGCTTCCACTCTTTGGAGGGTTCAGAGGGTCAGTCTAGGGGTTTAGGGTTTAGGGTTTAGCCGGGTGTAGGGTTTGTTTAGGGTTTAGGGTTTAGGGTTTAGGGTTTAGGGTTTAGGGTTTAGGGTTTAGGGTTTAGGGTTTAAGGTCTAGCTGGGTTTAGGGTTTAGGGTTTAGGGTAGCTTCATGGGCCCTGAGTACGTACCGGTTGTATAGGGTAAATTAGCGGGTCGGCGTCCCCTTCGAACGGCCTGTAATTACTAAGGGACCATGTAACTACCCTAGGACTTACGTGTATTTTGCGTGTTACGACACGCGGTACAAGCCGTTTATGCCCTTACTTCAGGGTTAGGGTTTATGGCTTTAAGCTTTAAAGGACTATCGGTTTTAGAAACAGGGACGGATGAGACAGATAGATGGCAGGTACTGGCATGTTAGGCTCAGGTGCAGGTTGCCCTCAAGCCTGCAATTCAATCCCTCACCCTGCCTAAACTAAACGATACGATGGTCAGTATAACGTTCTGCTGGTGCAGAGCTCTTAGACCCTAAGCCCCAAATCCCAAACCCCAAACCCCAAACCCTAAACCCCAAACCCCAAGCCCAAAACCCTAAACCCTAAACCCTAAACTCAGCATTTTCTTCAGTGGAAGTGAGAACCAAGCCTTCAGTTGGCCCACCCTCACAGCGCACAGGCCTTGATTGTAAACGGCCTGAGAAGAATTCCCTAAACCTGGAAAAGAACCCGAAGACCCTTTAGCAAGAAGATCTCGACCCGACAAAGCCTTGTCTGTGAAGAAGACGGGTTTAGTTTAGGGTTTAGGGTTTAGGGTTTAGGGTTTAGGGTTTAGGGTTTAGGGTTTAGGGTTTAGGGTTTAGGGTTTAGGGTTTAGGGTTTAGGGGATCCCTAAGGGCTAAACCCTACGCCCTAGACCCCCAAGCCGACTAGCTTGTCTATATCGAGAGGGTGCTTACAAAACAGTGTTTAGGGCTAGGGTTTAGGGTTTAGGGTTTAGGGTTTAGGGTTTTGGGTCCAAGATTCTGGTAGAGCGGCCCTGTGCCGAGGCATCCCTCGTTGGAGAGAATACACCCTAGACCCCCAAGCCCCCTCCAAAAGTGCCAGACAAGAACCAAGGTTTCGTGAGCAGCTATGTGTACACTACATAACCAGGAATAAAGTTTCGTCGCTCTTGACAAGACAAAGTTGACGGCGGACGGCGGAGTATTGCATCATGGTTTTGTGCTAGCCTGGCCAGCGGAGGAATTAATCCACTGGAATAAACTTATACTATTTTTAATGTTCCGGAGGAGGACCCGGCGCTCTTGGAGTGAAGGAGTCTAAGGAGAAGAGGGGGTCTTCTGCTGTCTGCTTATGTTATGTTGTGAGTGCGACGAACTTTCGGCCTGCCGCAGCATGCGTTGGGGGAGTACTGGTCTTGCCGAAACTTCACAAAGGGATCTTGGCGTGCCTTCCGTAAGCGCTTTTTGCAGCAGACTCTGGCCACCAAAACGCACGCTAGACTCTGGCCACCAAAACGCATGCTGCCTTCGATCCGTAAGCGCTTTTTGAAGCAGACTCTGGCCACCAAAACGCATGCTGCGCCGGGCCGATAGTTCGGCCCACCAACATCTTGGGCTTCGTACACCCGTACCCCGCCCTCTTCCCCATAGACTCCTGACACAAGTGGGGCTGGGGGCCTCCTCCGGAGCCTCTATAGTACTATATTTTTCAAACGGGGTATTAATTTCTCCGCTAGCAGGCGTAGGGAAAACGCGACTTCTCGGCACTCCGCTACTCCGCGGGAGCCTTCACTGTCTGCGTGCCATCCAACATGTGCCGTGGGTCGAAACTTTCGGCCCGGGGGTGCCTTCCGTAAGCACTTTTTGAAGCAGACGCTGGCCACCAAAACGCATCCTGCATTCCGTATTTGAAGCAGACTCTGGTGACTAAAACGCATCCTGCCCGCAGACAGAAGCAGAAATCGGCGCTTGGGTCCTGGACGCCAGATTTTTAGTGGAAACGGCCTTGTGAGGAACATAGCCAGGAATAAAGTTTCGTCGCTCTTGACAAGACAAAGTTGACGGAGGACGGCGGAGTATTGCATCATGGTTTTGTGCTAGCCTGGCCAGCGGAGGAATTAATCCACTGGAATAAACTTATACTATTTTTAATGTTCCGGAGGAGGACCCGGCGCTCTTGGAGTGAAGGAGTCTAAGGAGAAGAGGGGGTCTTCTGCTGTCTGCTTATGTTATGTTGTGAGTGCGACGAACTTTCGGCCTGCCGCAGTATAAGAGTTTAATCATCTACTAAGACATGAATGTTTTTTTATGTTGATATAAAGGTGCAGCAAACAAATATACCAATATCATATTGCAAGATACTATAACAAGCCCATAAGGTTCGAGGTCCGCCGGGCGCTCCACGCTTGGCCTCGGAGTGCCGTTCTGGCCAAGGCCACGGACGCTCGGCGGAGAAAGAACAGAAAGCAAGGCTCAGTTGGGAGTTTTTGGAAACCCTAAACCCTAAACCCCACTATTCGTGTCTTCCCTTCTTGCTGTTATATACAGAGGAGATTGTACTTAGGAAGATTTTTCAGAGGGTTGAAAGGGCTGACCTGGGAAAGGGTCGAAGTAGGTTTGGGGTTTGGGGTCCGCTTCATTGGAGTCTGGTGCGATTGTAAACTACCCTAAACTTAACCCTAAACCCCCAAAAACCCTAAACCCTACATCCCTCGAGTCGCTAAGTTCCTCGATCTCTTTGAGCATACACCCTCTTACTGGTTCCTGCCTAGGAGTGAGGGAACCAGGGTACCGTGTGGAATCCCCTTAAGAGGTTTCTCTAGGGGAGAAGAGGTACTTTATTCCTTCACTCCTCACGAACCAGAATCTGAAACCCTAAGCCCTAAACCCTCAACCCGAGAAACTGAACGCCCCACTGTAGGGGTCGGAATAAGTACTCATATTGTTCCCGTATGGTCCCTCCTTACAATTCTATTTATACTGACTATAATCAGGGCCAAAATTTTTATGCTATTTATACAGGCCTATACACCCTAAACCCTAAACCCTAAACCGTAAACCCCTTGCTGAGTTCCACTTCGAGCCCAGGAGCGCTCGCTGAGGGACCTGGGCCTCGGGTATCGCGCCGACCGGGGCCCGGCCATGCGAGAGTCGGGATGTAGGAAGTTGGATTCAGCGCTTCGGGTAGAACTAGAGTGTAAAGGGCTTTGCAGGCTCTAGCTGGGAGGGCTACATGCCTGTTTTGGACATTGAGGTTTTGCGGGCTCAGGAATCTCAGATGTTTGGCCCGTCTGCCCTTTTTTTCTGGGGGGCGTGCGAAGACAAGGCCTACATCAGTCAAGCTGCACGTCGGCTGGCCGAAGAGGCCGGGTTTAGGGTTTGCTTAGGGCTAGAGCTTTGGGGTTTGAAGTTTAGGCGAAGTTTCTTTAGCAAGTTCGCCCCCAAGTTCCTCTGCACAACTCCGCCTGTTGCCAAAGTTTCTCCCAGGGGCGACGGGTAGTTTGTGTCCCTCTCATACACAAGGCGGTGGAGGGGCGCAGGGTTCAGGGTCTTTCTTTGTAATGCTTCGGGAGACCCTGGTTCATGTCTGTTGCAAACATGGAATCACCCTGGCTGAGGGAGGTGGGGAGGCGGCTTTCCTTTTGGGTGCCCCCGCCACCTTTAGAAATGCCGTATTGGAGGCTGTCACGAGCAACCGACTGCTGTTTGGTTTTGCATGTCTCCAACACCCGGACATCTTCTTACTTTGAGCGCCAACCTAGTCCTCAAGAGCCGAACAGCTTCGGCCGCTAAGCCTCCAAACCCCAACATCATCCCTTAAACCCTGAAGCCTAAATCCTACATTCCCCACAATCCCAGAAGTGTACCAAAAACCCGAACCCCTTGTCCCCCGCGACCTCCATCCCAAGCGCCCAAAGTATTGAGGATGGCCGCATGCTGCGCTGGCTTCAAAGCTTCAGGCCTGACAAGCTGCACCCCCCAAAGAAAGCAAACGGGAGTCGTGGGGGGTTCTGGGTTCAGGGCTTGCGTGGAGCCCTTTTGGGGGGGGTTCGCTTGACTCTATCTAGATCTCTTCACCCTTCACAAGGCGGTGTTATGCGAGTTAAGCGTATACTCAATCACCCCAAACACCCATAATAACCCTAAACTCTCAACCCTAAGCCCTAAGCCCTCAACCCTCAACCCCTTACTCTCAACCCTCAACCCCATAAACCCCAAACCTAGCCTTCAGAGAGGGCGAATCCGGCAGTGGCGCCGGCAGATGCCATGGCTGCGCAGGAGTGCGCCTGCTCGGCTCCAGGGTTTGAGGTTCGAGGTTTCGTTTAGGGTTTAGGGTTTAGGGTTTAGGGGTTAGGGTTTAGGGTTTAGGGTTTAGGGCTTAGGGCTATAGGCTTAGGGTTTTCAGGTTTAGAGGTTTAGGAGTCGAATGTTGAGACCATATATCCTAAACTCCTAAAAACCTTAGCCCAGAGGGGTTGGGCCATTTTGGGCAGGTCTTCGGGCTTCCGTGGTGTGATCTTCCTGCAGCCTCTGGGGGTTGAGGGAGGAGTACAGGGTTTGGACTTGGGAATGCAGAAGTCTTGCGTGTTGTTGCAGTTTCTACTTGAGGGGCTGGGTTGGGGGCGGCTAGGTTCGAAAGAGTTATCTTCGAAGGGCCTGCGTGGGGTTTTGCTGCTAGCGCGCGTCGCGTTAGGTCTATATGATGAGGCTCTTGTTCCGGCTTGCTACTCAAAGTGTTGAATAGAACAATGTGGAAATCTTCATTCTCCTTGGGCATGTCCGATTGGAAGCATGTGCGCGCGCCCCGATGAAGTGCCAGCAAGTCTGAGCAAGGACGGGAAGCTTCAGTTCCCGATGCAAACTGGCTCCGGCGGATCCGGTCAGATCTGCGTTTACAAGAGCTCTTCCAGGTTTTGGGTTGCATTCAAATCCTCAAGCCTTGATACGTAAACCCTGAAGCCGTCAAACCCCAAAACCTGAACCCTAAACCCTAAACCCTAAACCCTACAACCCTACAACCCTACAACCTGGGTCTTCACACCCCCTAGTTGAACCCTAAACCTCCACATCCTTCAGCCCTGTAGTCTTAGGTCCTTGAAGTCCTTAAGCTCCAAGAAGCCCTGTAGCCCTAAACCCTAAACCCTAAACCCTAAACCCTAAACCCTAAACCCTAAACCCTAAGCCCTAAACCCTACAACCCTGCAACTCTAGGCTTCCTACAACCCGACAACCCTACAACCCTAGACCCTAAACTTCACTACCACTTTAGGGTTTAGGGTTTAGGGTTTAGGGTTTAGGGTTTAGGGTTTAGGGTTTAGGGTTTAGGGTTTAGGGTTTAGGGTTTAGGGTTTAGGGTAAACTTCCCTACAACCCTAGAACGCTACACCCTAAATCCTCGAAAGCAATAACATACGCCGCCAGCACGCCGAGGTCGGAGAAGGAGAGGGAGCGGCGCTTGTCTGTGCGAGAGGAGCTTTGCTCCTTGACTGTCTTTGGCATTTCTGGGATTTTGGAACCCTAAACCCTAAACCCTAAACCCTAAACCCTAAACCCTAAACCCTAAACCCTAAACCCTAAACCCTAAACCCTAAACCCTGAACCTAGGGTTTGGGGTTAGGGTGTAGGTTATGTTTTTGGTTTACATGTTTGTGCTTGGAGGTTGGGTTTAGGGCTTTCGGATTTCTTGGGGTTTGGTGCTTTAAGGGTAAACCCATGTAGGCTTAGGGCTTTAGGGGTTGGCGGGTTTAGGGTTTAGGGTTTGGGTTTAGACCATTCAGGGCTTCAGATTAGGATTCTTGGCGGTCTGTGTGGGAAGTCTCCGCTTAGGTTGAGGGTTTAGGGTTTAGGGTTTAGGGTTTAGGGTTTAGGGTTTAGGGTTTAGGGTTTAGGGTTTAGGCTTAGGTTTAGGGTTTAGGGTTTAGGGCTTAGGGTTTAGGGTTTAGGGTTTAGGGTCTAGGGTCTAGGGTCGAGGGTCGAGGGTCTAGGGTCGAGGGTCTAGGGTTAGGGTTTAGGGTTTCGGGCTTAACATGAATGGCATGAGGCTTCGGAGTGTGTAGGGCCTTGTGCTTTAACAACAACCACACCCAGCTTGTCTTTGTACTTACCAGATGATGCACTCGCGGTAAGCCCTAAACCCTAAACCTAAACCCTAACCTCTAAACCCTAAACCCTAAACCCTACATGACAGCCATGCCCTACACGCCCTCATAAGAATCAAAAGGCGACGCACCCTTGCACCCCGAGGCCGGCTGCCAGGTATCGGTGCCAAGGTGGCCGACTGCGTGGCCTTGCGCCGCGACAGCGTTTCGGGTTTAGGGTTTAGGGTTTAGGGTTTAGGGTTTATTGTTTAGGGTTTGTTGTTTAGGGTTTAGGGTTTATTGTTTAGGGTTTAGGGTTTAGGGTTTAGGGTTCAGCAGCTCATGTACTAGCTTTCACTAGTCGTTGAATTGTTAACTCATCTTCCTCTTCACCAGCAGTTCCTACCATAGTTGTATAAGAAGAATCTTCATGTTTCGTCAATTATTCTTTTTATCAATAATCATTTTTAATATGTTTCATTTTTTATTCTTATTTGTACTATTAAATATTTTAATTTTTGTGGAATTCAACATCTGAATAATCTTCTTGAATCCACTGATCAGTAAGAAAACAAAAAAACAGCTCATGTGTGTGGTTATAAGAGGTTCCAAGTCCTTGAAAATTTGTGAGGATTTCTTGTTATTTATTTGTATATATTTAATTGTTGCTAAGTTGTTGTGATCAAAAACTATTCTAAACATAAAAAACTAAGGGAGCAATCCAACTACATTCGTAACACCCATTCCTTATCATCGATCAAGAATAAAAAACTAAAGAATGATAATAAACAATTCAGTGAATCGAACATCAAATTAGAGTTGAAGGAATGTTCAAACATTGATGGACAATACAAATTTAAATGAATCTTAAAGTTTTGTTCAATGCAAATCATTGGAAATGATTCTACCAAAATTGATGAACACAAATCATCTAGTCAGCTTTTTCATCATGTGTTGGAGAAGTACCAACCCAGAGAATCCCGCAAGTTAAGAACATGTAAAGTTATCATATTCAGCTGGACCTTAAACCCTAGCCTTGAGCCCTGAACTCGCGAGGTCTCGGGGGGTGAGGGACCCAAGGAAGCTTAGGGAAGGTTTGGGAGTGTTCCTTTTTGAAGAAGCTACAAAGGGAAGTGATCATAATCGGCTTCTAGAGCGACTAGCACGGGTATCCTTACTATGTAATCTTCATTTCATGTGCAAGAGAATGACGCGATCATACCAGGGTTCTACAGCAAATAACACGGTTCTCCTTAGGTACGAGCACATGAAGCTTTCATACTTGGGTTAGATAGCAAATAATATGGCATTAGGGCTAGGGTTTAGGGTTTAGGGTTTAGGGTCTAGGGTTTGGGGTTTGGGGTTTGGGGTTTGGGGTTTGGGGTTTGGGGTTTAGCGTTTAGGGTTTAGGCCTAAAAAACCGAAACTCCCCAAACCAGACACTCAGCTCCACCACCGCTGTTGCGCTGAAAAGGTTCGGACTTGGCTTTCACGGCGCCGTCCCAGTGGACCTCCCCTGAAACTGGAGGGTTTATGGGGCTTACTGGGGTTGATTTGTACCTAAAGCTCTATGTGCCCCAATCCTTATATATCCCTATATAACCCATATATAGATGAACCTTCGCTTCAAAATCTTTCATGGGCCCTCAAATCCACCTTGGCTGATGCGTTAGTCAGAAGGGTTTAGGGTTTAGGTTTCTGTTTGCCTAGGAAGGGTTGATCTACCTAGAGGGTTTTGGGGGTGCTCTAAACTAGAGCTATAGGCTTAACCCCCGAAACCCTAAGCCCGAAACCCTAAATAGCTGTAGTTTGCTGGGGAGACCTATTTTTTCGGTCAAGCCCCAGACTGGTTTCGGGGCTGTGAGTTTAGGGGTTTGCCTTCAAGACCCCAAACCCACTTCTTTGCAGAATTCTTAGTATGGATCCCCTTCTAGGAATCTTAGGAACCCTACAAGAAAGTAGCTGTTTGGGGGGTTCTTAGCGTATCCTGAGAGGGGATTCATACTTACCCTAAACGCTAAACCCTAAACCCTGAACCCCTGAACCCTAAACCCCCAAACCCTAAACCCTGTTCAAACCAGTGTCGGCTTCCGGCCTGACCGACCCTGACTCTACATAACGCAAGACGCCGAGAGTCAGTTTAGGGTTGAGGATTTAGGGTTTAGGGTTTAGGGTTTGGGGCTCACCTGCTCCATGGTTCAGTCACCAGAACACCCTCAACTCTGAACCCTAAACCATTGCCCAGTTACCAGAACACCCTACACCCTCTAAACCCGGAACCCTAAACCCTAAACCCCACAAATCCGAACCTCCCACGCTCCCGCCCTCCCAACCTCCCCCCCTTCTTCCCCCCCCCCCCGCTACCCCGGCACACAAAGTCTCATTTTGCTCTCCTGCATCTTGCTCACGCCGCCGCTGCAGTCGAGGCCCGAGATGTTGAAGTCTGAGCTCCCCATGGGCTTAGCTGCAAGCTCTGTAGGGAACTTGAAGACAGGCTAGAGAGAAGCAGCTCTCCAGCCAAGCCATGCGACTCAACACACTTGCTGCGAGCCACAGCCTTGCTCATGAAACTTGTCTTCCCAAGCTCAGCAACAGGAGTTCCATACTTGGCTTTAGGGTTTTAGAGTTTTAGGGTTTTAGGGTTTAGGGTTTAGGGTTTAGGGTCTTAGTGTCTTAGGGTCTTAGGGTTTAGGGCTTGTCACGCTGGCGCGCCATGGCTGTGGCCAATCCAGGGAAAGCGCGCCTCAACGTAGGCCAGGGCCATTGGGCCCTGGGGCCCCTGAGATGTTCAGGGTTTAGGGTTTAGGGTTTAGGGTTAAGAGTTCAGGGTTCTGTGCCCCCCAAACCTCACGCAAAGTTAGGCCAAGCAGTTGCAGAAGGTCTTGCTTCTAGGCAACCACAATCCTCAATACTGCACCCACACCTCCAGCTACCTAGACATTGGGCTGCATGGTATGCTACATAGTAGGTCCCTGGGGGTTGAAGCTTATAAAACTGTTCTCTTGTGATGTAACTTATACCATCCCCAAGCCCTGCAGCCCTGAGCTCTAAAAGCCCTAGTCCTAAACCCTAAACCCTAAACCCTAAACCCTAAACCCTAAACCCCCAACCCTAGACCTTGAACCCGAAAAGCACTGGACCTCTGCAAGGTCAACGTTTCGCCCTCACGCCGGAGGGCCGACTCTACCGGGCAGCCAAGGACCTTTAAACTTGCACACTTGGGGGGGGTTTAGGGTTTAGGGTTTAGGGTTCAGGGTTCAGGGTTCAGGGTTTAGGGTTCAGGGTTCAGGGTTTAGGGTTTAGGGTTTAGGGTTTAGGGTTGAGGTTTAGGGTTTAGGGTTTAGGGTGGAGGGTTGAGGGTTGAGGGTTTAGGGTTTAGGGGTTCAGAGCTGAGGGTTTCCTGTAAAAGCCCAGAACCCTGAACCCTGAACCCTAAACGCTAAATCCCCAAGCCCATGAAGTCCCGAACCCTCTCAGAGGCAAAGACCCTCAAAATCCCAAGCCTCCCCCGCGCCCCGCCACCTTCCCGAGCCCAAAGCCTTCACCAGGTAGGCCCGGAATGTTTTCCGTGTTCAGGGTTTTAGGGTTTAAGGGGTTTGGGGATTTAGAGGTTTAGGGTTTCAGGGTTTTAGGGTTTTAGGGTTTATGGTTTAGGGTCTTAGGGTTTTCGGGTTTCGGGAGGATTAGCTCTCACATGGTGGGCCCTATTTGCTTAGGAGCCTCCCCCCTCCCCCCCCCCAAAAGAAAAAATAAAAAGGGAATGTATGCTGGTTTGTAGGTTTAGGGCCTTGGCTGGGTTGGGCGAGTTTTGGGGTTTTGGGCCTCGAGCCCGAAACCACTGAAGCCTTCGAACATAGGATGGTGACATCGAGGGCGTCGCGGCTGCTTGTGCAGAGGGTGCCAAGTTCCTTGGGGCAGCCTTATTGTTGAGGGGTATGGGTTGAGGGGGTGGACTGTGGAGCTTTGGCTTGGGGTTTAGGGTTTAGGGTTTAGGGTTTGGGGTTTGGGGTTTAGGGTTTAGGGTTTAGGGTTTAATTAGTGGGCCCGTCGGGGTAAGTTTTTGGTGTAGGGCTTAATCCTTCCCCTGAATTTTACATGGGTGCCCGCCCCACAATGTACTACGAGCTGCGGGGGGAATAGTAATTGGTTTCGACAGCCGCCCGCAACCCTGACACTTTCCAGTCCTAATTTCAACTCGACCCCCCTCCCAGATCGCATGCTTCTCCAGCAATGTAGAGGGTGGGTGGGGGGGGGGGGGGGAATCCTAAACCTAAAACCCTAAACCCTAAATCCTAACTCCTAAATCCTGGGCCCTAGGCCCTAAACCCTAAACCCCAAACCCCAACCCCTAAACCCTAAACCCTAACTTCGATGTGAATGGGGAGGGTGTTCAGTGGGGTGGTGAACTTCAGGACCGGCATCGTTTGCTCTATCCGTATCCTTGGTAGCCCAGTGGTAACCTTTACCCTTTTTTGTTGGTTCTGGGTTCCCTTTATAGAAGTAACCAACCCCAAAAAGGGTGCCCTTGTTATCATGTTGGACTGGCTTTAGTGAGAAGGGGCACTATTATGCGATGTTCCGGAAATCCTATAGGGGACCCCCATTGTTTAGGGTGGTCCTCAATTATGCGATGTTTGCCGGCGGGGTTGAAGGGCGGGGGGCCGGGGAGCCAAAAACTAAAAGCAGTTTTGAATAAGAAACTCCGGATTTTTTGGTGTCCAGCCTTATTTAAATTCCATTTAAAATTTCATTACGAAACAGGCCCCCAAAGAATTTTCCAAGGGAGTAGCCCACGAGCTGCCCTGATTCGCTTTAGCAAGTTGTTTCGGTGGTCCGCATTTATGCGGAGCCCCGGCAACCGTGGAGCTACAAAGCCTGGAAAGCTTAGACCCTCAAGCTGCAAGGCTTCCCCTCAACCCTCGACCCCTAGCCGCCCTACCCCCAGCCCCGTCCCAGCCCCAGCCCACACTATTCAGGATCCCCGAAAACCCCAAAATTGTTTGGGGGGGCGGGGGGGGGGGGGGGGGGGGGGACCCTTACGTACTAAAGCGAGTCCAACATTAATATGGTTACTGGGCTACTAAGTATCATAATCATGATCAGCAGGATTTTTCTGGGGAGGTTGACTGCTGGGGAAGTGGGATCCCGCCCTTGCTGTCCCATCGTTAGGCGTGTTTACGGGACTAGGGCTGTGTAGCTAGCTGCGCAGGATTCCCAAACGCGGTGTATAGCTGTACAGGTATATCTATACGTCTACATGCACATATATGTATATCCGGCGCCTCCAAACACGAAATCACCCTCAACACAAATCCTAACAGAGATCACGTCTAGGAACTTTGGAACCCCTGGGACCCCGAACCCCAACGCCATGAAGACCCAAAAGTGCTAAAGTATGCTAAAGAAGCCCGGACACCCCAGGCCCAGAGAGCTCAATGATGCGGGTTTAGGGTTTAGGGTTTAGGGTTTAGGCTTTAGGGCCCGGAATCAGCTGAAGCCCATACATTTCAAAGCGCTGATGTCTTTCTTCCGAAGTTCAAACCCTCGGCCTAAAGTTTCCTATGGCACCGAGCCCTAAACTCCCATAGCCCCTGAACCCTAAACCCTAAACCCTAAACCCCAAACCCCAAACCCCAAACCCCAAACCCCAAACCCCAAACCCCAAACCGCAAGGCTGGATGTCCAGCACCCGGAGTTTGGCTCGCAGCCCTTGGTCATTGCCACGCTGCTTCGGTGCAACTGGGGGCTTAGGGTTTAGGGTTTAGGGTTTAGGGTTGAGGGTTGAGGGTTGAGGGTTTAGGGTTTCATGTCGTTTTTTTAAAGGGCCCTGAGGCTCTAGGGTGCAAGCATCCTTTGGGCCAGGGGAGTAGTGACATCAAACGTAAACGACAAAGACTCCCACAGCTTGCCCGGCCTCAATCCCTAAACCCTATAAAGCCTAAACCCTTTAACCATTAAACCCTTAAACCCTTAATCCCCTTAAACCCTAAACCCCTGAAACCCTAAACCCCTCAAACTCTAAAACCCCTTGAACCCAAAAAAAGAACCCCAACCCCTAGACCCCGAAACCCCTAAACCCTTAAACCCATAAACCCCACAAACCTTTAAACCCTTCATCTTGGGCAACCCTAAACCCTAAACCCTAACCCCTAAAATCCTAAACCCCAAACCCTATGGGAGCCCCCCGGAATGAGTCCCGAGGCTTAATGGCCACACGGAGTGCGTGCACTACCTCCTTGAAGAGAAGGCTGGTTTCGAGTTGAGGGTTTTGGGTTTTGGGTTTAGGGTTTAGAGTCTAGGGTTTGGTCCAGGGTTTTGGGCTTTAGGGTTCAGGGTTCAGGCTTTAGGGTTTGGGGTCGGGGGGGGGCGGGGGGCTCCGGATAGTGAGGATTCAGAACCCTAGGCCCTAAGCCTCTCAGCCGCTGCGTTGGGGGATTGTGCTGGGCAGATTCCGGACTATAGGGGCTAATATAGGGAACTGCTGTACCCAAGTAGCTTCCCAACTCCA